GTCGATAGCATTTATTTCCGCGTTCCTTTCATAATAATTTTTTCTAAAAAAAATAGAAAACTATTTTAGTTATAATAATAATAATATTGATCTAATAGTATTTATTTTGTTTTTAGAACAAAGTTTTGAAATATCTTAGTAAATTTTCAATTTTGCGAGAACAATCAGCAGAAAACAGGTTTAGGTTTTAAGAAGTGAGGTATAAGTACTAAAAGTCTGGAGTAACTGTATCGCATATGCAAATACATTGACCTTACTTTAGAACAAGTGCGCGATTTTGAGTGTTTGTATTTATACTCGATCTATGGGTGTGTGCTGCTGTTGCAGGTAGAAAGACAAATAAGAATAACAACAAATTAACCGAATGATGAACTAAAAGCGTACAAACTTCTGGTAAAATGTTTATTTGAAAAATATATAAAAGATTATTAATATAAGTTAGTTAATTAAGTTGAATAAAATGATTAATAAAACAAATAAATTATATATATTAAGCATAAATACAACTACAAAAATCTAAAGTTTGATTAAATGAATTTAATTTACATAACATATATGAACATTGTCGTTAAAATTATGTATGATATCTAAGATTTAGTAAAAGTACTCGTAGTTACATTCATATCTTGCGACTTTGCAAGATACAAGTTTGCTACATGGTTTAGGATAAAAAGTACTCTATGTGTGTTAGGATAAAATATAGCTCGTTTATGTAAATTCCATGATGTACAATAGTCAAGAATTTATTGAGGTGAATACACTAAGGATTCCCTGACACTTTATATTTATCATTTGCATTAAAAATATTATAAAAAATGGTCTATACAGGTAACTTATTCGTGTTTTTGCTGTCAAATAGTTGTATTTGCATTGTTGTGTTATGATACCTAGGGTAATACTTAGTACTGAATATACTGGGTTCTAACCCTACAGGTATCATCATGATGGGCTAACTGGCCTGTTTTCATTCTCATCTGTCACCCTTCACTGGTGCTCCGTCGGCGTATCCTGTTAGCGCGGCCGGGGTTACCATACCATTTTCATCCATCAAAAAAAAACCCTACAGGTAATATCTTAGTTAATAGGATAGGCGGAGCTTGTGGTGTAACATTAACATTATAGCAGTTTTGTTCAGGTTTATAGACTACGATTAAATTTTTATGAGGTAAACGGATAGATTTTTTGCTATTACAAATCATATAAAAAGGTCTGTAATTGACTTTATTTTAAGTATTAGCTGCAACACGAATAGTGTATGTATTTAAGCATATTACAACAGTGTGAGTGTATCGGTTTGAGTGAGAGAAAGTCCTCGAGGTCCATTCACAAGCCGCATACAAATATTTGTGGACGCCTACAATACCAAAACGGGTTTAGACCTTTCTAGGTTTGGTTGTAGTGTCGTGATATCAACCTGTCTACAGACAAGCGACTAAAATACTAAATTTTTTTAAAACATACCTTATAATATTATTAAAGATTTTTTTATTTAATTACAAATATTCTGGGCCAGTACTATAACATCTTAAAAACTTCAGAGGGCAATCAAGTTAAAAAAACTGAAGTATAGACATAATATTATTGAAACTGTATTAGGACTGTAATCTATAATTTTTGAGGGATTTAAAAATTGGTAATAAGTTAAGATAGAAAAAGAATAAAGGAAAAGAGTATATGAACGAGATTTTAGGATTATTATAAATTAGTATGAGTATCTACTTTATTGGTTCCATTGTTATTTTCGATATAGTTGTAATAGTATTAATAATTGGAATTATATTACTATTAGTAACTATTATACCAATTCCTCTACAAGTAATTATAGTAAGACATCTTTTTCTCTGAACAATTTATTTATGCCTCTATGCTATAAATTAATATATAATGAAAATTGTGCTTATATTGATTAACGTAGTAATTACCTATCTAAATGGCAATGAACGTGATATTTATACATTTCCATTTTACATTTTTTAATTATATTTATAAACATTTTCAAATGAAGTTAAAGTAATATTCTAATTGATTGTTGGTTAGATACAGCAAAAAAGTTTGTTATTTGTGTGTTATTCAAAACATTTCTACTTATATATATATAATTATATCCATATTACTACTTATATTAATTTAATTGAAGGATTTTCTAGAATTTTATTATAATCGTATAAATCTTATAAAGTAACTGTACCTGCCTGCCTTAAAAAATAAATAAATTTATTTATTTTTATATACAAAACATTATTTAATATTATTTATTATATATGTATTTTTTTATTACTAACTGACAGTAACAGCAAATTAGTGTCACATATAAAAGTTTTGTTGTCTATTTTCTTAGTGGTAGATTCCCATTATGGTTTCAGAACTTACTGGGCACAATATGCCCTAATTGGTAGCTGTCCTTCCTTAACAATCTTTTAACATTTCACTGATGGATACAGATATTTATCAATATGTGGAAGATAGAGATTATTATTACTACACTGACTCGATGCCATAGTGTAATGATTTATTTAAGAGTCTACGGTCGGCACATAACAACACATATTTTATGAAATTATGACAATGAAACCTAAAAGGTGTAAATATGCATGAATATTTTATTAGATATATGTTTTATCAAGTATTTAGAGATCTAGGGTCTGTGGCGCCTTATTTCCTTTTGCAATACCTTAAATTACGAATTTGAGAGTGAGTCTTGACAACCGAATGTTAGTGTTTACGTCACATTATCAATTACACTTAAAGAGCGTTTACATACATAACCTTAAGTGAAAGTATGGGGCCGGTCCCCTCATACTAATGTTCAAAATGTTTAAAGATTCTAACTTCACACATACATTGCCCACACATTTCTCTGTCGAGACATGGCGAGTCGGTAAATAAGTTGAATAAATTAATGAGTCGCACTGTACCAACCCCTTTTCGACCATAGATTATGATTATTATACACAGCTATATATTTTACAATTTTTACGAACTTAAGATAAACGATGACGAGAAACATTACTTGTATATTTATTTCTAATCTTGCCTGCAGCTTCGTTCCAGAAAATAATTAGAAAAAATATGGTTTAGACACTATTATCATTTTAGAGATTTTTAGTATATATGAAAATTTGGTCAATAATAATCACTATATTTTACATGACTTTATATAATGGATGGGATTAATCTGTATATATAATTATAATGCTCGATTCATTTTGATAACCATACACGAGTTTTTTAAGTAGAGTTATTCATTGTCTACTCAAATATAAAATATAACTGATTGTGAAAATTCATTACGTTTTCACAAAACAGGCTGATTTGGACGCTATTGCAAATTTTTAGATTTTTAAATTAATTTTCACAAAACTATTGTACAATAAAATGTATAAAAAATATTCGATAAAGTTTAACATGTAACGCCATGGAAACACCAATGAAGTTATTGCAAAATGGATTTGCTTATTTTGTTTCCAACAAGGATATTGGCGCGAATGGCAATGAGGTATTCCAAGAAGATTTGGCAAGAGCATTTTCTGATAATCTTAAAGACTATTTCTCAACTTATAAAAATACCTACTTCCATTTATTTCATATTTTGTATGATATGTATTTAAAATATTATTAGCATTGTCATTAATATTTTAAATATAAAATATTATTTAGAGAAAAAGTAATATTATTATAAAATTGCATTAATACACATATAATATAATATATATAAAAAAGAACAGAAAAAGGTTTTAAATTACTTCGTTGGTTTTAACAAAACAAGGAGATTGGATTAATAGAAGTGTAAACACTTGAAAATTCAAAAGTTTAGATATACGAATACTACTATGTATTGAAAGTCAATTTCATATTAAAGTTTAACATATCCTTTAATAAATTTTATCAGTACTATTTTTTGAAAATACGGTACTAAGTTGAAAAATGTTACATAAAAATTAAGGTATTTTAGAGATTAACGAGTATATCCATTCCATCATCGACTTTGACAAGCTGGAGCAATTTATTTGAAGAATATTATACTTAAAATTATACTATACTACATACATACTACATAGTCATAGTCCCATTATTATATAGACACATGTATCTCTTCATAAGGAACTTACCAACACAATGGTGACTAGGCAGCACAGTAGAGAGTTTTATTTAAAGTCTTCCTTTTTAATTACATTGGTATGTTGGCTTTGATTCTTGTTTCCCGTAATGGATTTTTTTGACATATTGGGGATGAAAATCAGTTAAAAAATATTGTATTCCCAAGGAAAAGTTGAACAGCAGGATTAGGTGTTGTTATGATCTGTGAAGAATATAAATATAAAAGTTTTTGCCAGCGACTATCTACGTACACTTACATTGTAAATTCATCATCATATCAGCCAGGGGTTTGCCAGTAGTTGCCTTGAATGGCAGGCGGGTTGGTAACTGCAATTAGGCTTGGGAGACAGTTTAAGAGGGACGCTGCTGCCCATCCCTCGCCCTCACTTAGTCGCCTCGTACGACACTCACGGGAAAGGAAGGGGTGGTCTATTCTATGCTGGGACCACACGGAAAATTATCATATGTGAAAAATCCAAATACAGCTCAATTCAATTCATTGAGTAAAGTATGAATAAAAAGAAATCAATAAAATAGGAAATCAATCAATTCAAAAATATTTAAAAAAATAGTAAACACACAGCGTGTCTTTTGTTCATGTTTTATTATTTTTACGAAGTTGTATGATATTATGAATTTGTCACGATAAAATATTACTCCTGTTTTTATTTATAATATGTGCATGATGACATAAGATAAATATTAAAGTGGCCACAATTCTCGTATAAAATGACTAAAAATAATTTTTTTTCTTAAAAAACTAAATGTTTTTTATCACTACCTCACTCAACTATCTGCATGATCGGTGATCTTTGGCTATTGCGACTACCATCACTACTTTCCTTCCCTGCGTGTGACGTAACTCTATAAAAGAGAGTGCGTTGAAAACGCCGCCGCTATACCGTTTCCGTTCGCCAAGCACGGCCAGAGCGTCCCTAGCACCGGTACAGAAGGACGCGGGCGGATCTCTTCCGCCGGACTCGAGTGACAGTTCGACAAAAGGTGAAGTGAACTAGTGCACGTGCCCATGTGTGTGATAGTGATGTGATCGTGGTAACAGTGAGGTGGACTGGCACTGTCGCGATCCAGATGCAGTTCGTGTTCATTAAAGGTGATGTTTGTTTCAGATACGAGATGAGGTCGTTATTCTTGTTAGCGGCGATCTGCTGTTTAGTGTTCTCGGCATGGGCAAGCCCTATTGCAAGGTCAGAGGAGCAGGATAAGGAAAATGGTAGACAAGCAGCGGCAGCGGCGGCTCCCGCTGCACCTGCTGCGTCTGCCGATGACGACGATGATGATGACGACGATGACGATGATGACGATGACATAGATCTTGACGATGCTCTTGCAGGTGGGTTGAAGTTAAAGGATTTCTAATTTATGCGTTTATTGTTTGTTTTCAGCCATATTGAAAAGTTCAGTTGATCAGTCTCAATATTTTAAAAATAATAAAAATTCAAACTGCAGCATTTTTAATATAATTTATAACAAAAATGTTTCTTTTCAATCATTTGATCTACAAATATTAAAAATACAGTTAAATACTAGAAATTATTTTGGTTTAGTATTTTTCGAATAGTTGTAATATGTTAATTAGGTCATAGTTTACGGTTAAATATTAGACACTATCTGTATTTGTTATAACTATTTGTCTATCTTGACTAGTTGTTTTTTACCGTTCAAATAAGTAAAAAAGGTAACGGTAGATATGATGTATACGGACGGGCTTTATCGGTTCATTCGGTTCATTCACTGCCGAGGGCAATTGCTGTTCATAATCATTAGTTAATACAGATTGTGCTCAGATTGTTAACATAATAATACGGCAAAGACGTATTGCATTCTTTGCACAGTTAAGTACTTGATTCATATGAAGTAATAAAATAACATAAGTAATATAAGTTTCTAGTAACGATTATCCATGGCTTTATTGAAAGAGTTGTATTGAAAGCAACATTTATGATTATTACTTACTATAAATTTACATACGTATTTATAGAATATATTATATGTTTTTGAAAAGAAATTTTTGTTCTAAATTAACCAATTATTCAAATACTAGATAAAAAAAATTATTTAAAAAATTAGAAGAATAATAAAATATTAAAAAAAGAGTTTTTACAGTAAACTTTGCAGTAAGAATAAAATCTGAACACTTTGTTGAAAGTGTTACATTTCATCGATGTACATTCCTATGAATCAGGACGTAGTGGGGCTAATGCGGAATGTGAAGCGGACAGCGTGACAAGCGCTCTCAATCGTTAATTAATTCAAACAGTCTCAATCAGAGAAAATGACGCTCCCCTGCTTTCTAGACGAAAGCCTCAGCGATCAGGAACGTCACGCACCGGGGCGCCGCGCGTGTACTGCTTAACTGTTTGTTTAACAGTTTATTTGCTTTTAGGTACCGATAATTGCGTTAATAAACCGTTCTCGTGCCAACGACATAAATATAGCTATAAAAGGCAAATATTAAATTACAGTTTTGCGGTATTCGGATGAGGATTATAATAATTAGGGTATATGTAACTATAAAAGGAAACTAACGTTTTTATATTGACGCAGGAGATGATGATGACGACGACGACGATGATGATGAAGACGATGATGACGAGGCAGATGACGATGATGATGAAGATTATCTGGAGAGATTCTTCGATGACATCTTAGGAGGTATTTTTATAATAATGCATCAGTTTAACTTTGGTTATTCAGGTTTAACTTAGATAGTTTGATAAAAACTTTCTTTCTTCTAATAGGCGAAGATGACGATGACGATGAAGATACCGCTGTTGTACAACCAGTAGCCGCTCCAGCTGACACATTAGCCGCTGCGCCTGCGCCTTCCCCCGCTGTAGATGAAGTCGCTGCTGCTGCTGAAGATGCGGAGTCAGCTGAACCAGAAGCTGCTACAGATGGCGAAGAATTAGAAGGGGGGCAGAAAGAACCTTCCAGCGCTGAGGTTGAAGCCCCAGCTGCTGAACCTGCTGCCGATGCTGAAGCCGAAGACGATGACGATGACGACGATGACATTGCTGATGCCCTTGACCCCGAGGATGACGAGGATGACGAAGAAGAAGAGGACGAAGATGATGACGATGATGACATCACAGATGCCCTCGGAAGGAACATCTCCACTAAGCATCCACGTGAGTCTAAAAAGTTGAAGGCGAGCGTCGCGGCGCATGCAAAAAAGACTGGGAAAAAAGCGAATCACATCAGCAAAATTAAGAAAACCAAAGCGACATTCGCCGCGGCCACCGCCCCAGAACATAAAAAGTTCAGATAGTGAGTAGGCGGCGTCGAAGCCATGGCCGAGTCACATCACCAAATCCACCTGAGAGACCCCGTGGTCCCCTCCTTTAGCTTAGCTATTTATTGACTATTTATTTATTCTATTTATTTTATTTATTAAGTGCGTGTGAATGCAGTGTGAATGTGTAAGTATGAAAACGAGAAAGTTTAAGTTAAATTAATGTCTAGATCATGTCACATTGGTCTCGTGGCAATTTATTTGAAATAAATCTGTTGTTCTAATTTGTTGTGTGAAATTTTTTATCTTACCTTCGAGATGACTTGTGCGAAATCTGAACTAGTAGATGATAAATAAATACGTAATAACATCGGTCAGAATACTAGTTGCCTTTTCGTTAATTTCCTTGTCAGCTTATCGAGTGACATTATCTAGTGATATTAATTTAATGTTTGTTGTAAAATAAATGACTAGTCAACGTAAAGTATTTATAAATACCCCTTTACCCTTATCCATTAGTATTATGCTTGTTTATATGTATGAACTTATATACATAGTGAATTAAGTATATTATGCATTTATATTTTATCTTATTAAATAGTAAAGTTATACAATAATATTTATACATGTAAAAATTAAACTGTAGATGTAATTAACTAGCCTTTTGACCGATTTATATTTATATATTATCATATAATGCACAGCCAATCTCTTATCCTTTTCCTAATCCCAGCTAAGAAATTATAAATAAACGAGGTATCTTTACAATATTGTAAGTCCGTGACGATAATTATTTATAAATGTATGGTCCAGGCGCCACACGACGGATGGTTTCCAGTAGTCCGGCGTGCATGTATGTTATGGGGTCGGGCGCAGCCGCGTCAGCCGCTTACTTTCTCGACCACTGTCCGTACGATGAACCCGCCCGATTTCTTCTGCAACCTTGACACTTTCTTTGACCTTGCTCCGGCTGCGCCCTGCGGTGACCTTGACTAATCTTACCACAATATTTCGATATAATCTGATGGAAAGTAAATCGCATTAGATGTTTACTCTCACTTGATGACGAATTGCCACGAAATTTGCGTGTCCAACGTCCGGCTTAGTGAAAACGAGGTAATGAGATGCGAAAAGAGAAATTTTAAATGTTTGTCGTCGTGAAATGTTGGGAGAGTCGCGAGGAGTCATATTCGACCCAAATGGAACTCGTTTGTTGCCGGTAATATATATAGGTAGTTAATGTGAGGCGGCGCACTTGCCGGTTCGGGCGGTCTTTGCCTCCTTTCACATAAAAAAATTAAACCAGATGATGTATATATAGCGCCAAGCAATTATGATTAACGTTTACACTAGGGAAGTAAACGAAGCGTAAACTTATGCGCTTAATCTCATGAACAAAAGTGATTTAACGTTATAGTTTAAGTACGAGAAAGAAGTGCTGCGGCTTTGCCCACGCGGAAGTCTTTGTTTCCGTGAGAATTTTTCAAAATAATTTTTTACTGGATGCTTATATTTTATATAAAGCTTATCTATTACTTTATATTTTGGAGAGATAATGTTAAATTGTGGCTAATTTTCTCACATATAATTAAATTTTTTGATAAATATTCATAATATTTTGAAATACATTTGAAATTTTAAATATTTACATAATATATAGATAGTTAAACTGTTATTAGATTTCATCGAATGTTTGCGACTCGGCACGCAGTTTCTTTTACCTGTGGAAAATAGAAAATCCACCGTTGAGTGGACGTATTAATTGTAAGCGTGTGTTAGAATTCAACTGGAGTTTCATGAGACCGATACAGTTAGTTCGCGTGCCACATCAATGTGATTTGAATATATAAGTATTCGATTGAATTGCAGTGCTATATAATCATATTATGTCGCTTCGAAACCATGAATAGGGACAGCGACTGATTAATTAATTAAAAGTTATTTCACGTCCGATGAAAGAGAAACTTAGGACAGCTCTCTATTTGATAGTCAATAAAAATATTTAATGAGTGCCCTTTGGCGGAAAAAAGTTGGCACTAATTACGTTGCTAATAAAATGCAGTTGAATTGAAAACCTTCATTTTTAAGTAGATTAAATTGAATAGATATTTGATAAAACACTTTCAGACACATCTGTTTTTGCATTTTGACAAATTAATAAATTTTTGAACATTTTGTAGTTAAAAGTTGTAAGGATAACCTTAATTATCTATAGGCTAGTCCAAATTAAGGAATGTTATTGGAATCGTTATAGTTTTTATCCATGATAATATAGAATGCCAGTTTCACTATCGAATATAAATACTATAATTATATACAATATATTTTTATACAAAGTATCATTTGGATACGGACTGAGAACTGAGTATCAGCGATCTCTATTTTAATAGAAACTACTGCTTCGTCCATTTACATAATTCGCTTCATTCATGCATGCCAATTCCGGAAATTTAATTTCTTATTTAATCTGGTCTGTCTACGTGTATGTTATCAAGATGATAAACAATAATTAACTTAGTTATTTTAAGCAACAGGTAGGTAATAAGGGCAAAGATACAAACTACATATAGCTTTATTCAAAAATATAATAATTTATAGACGATATTATAATTATACAAATACTGTATAAATTAAAACTTTGTTCTAAAAAACTGATTAACTAACACAAAAAATTATAATGGGACTAACACGGCAGTAAACTTTACAATAAAAAGAGCTATTTAGATTTAGAATTGGTGAAGATATTGCGTGTAAACGGTAACTATATGCAAAAATACAGTCAAAAATACTTTTTTATTTTAAATCGGTTAAAAATTATCGATAGTTGGTTGTTGTCTTTTATAATTCAATGATGACATTAATGAAATTTCATAGAAAGTGATGACCTCAAATATGAACTCTTAATCTAAAGAAGCTCTTATTTTGTGCCTGGTATGTTTGGAGGTCTTACAGTTAGCAGAGGATCATGAATAAGGTCACATAATCGTAGTTGAAATGATGATGATGATATACTAATTTATTTAATGCTCTCAAATTTCTCAAGTAAACCACTTAGGAACTTGGCTTCATTCCACTATGTTTCAGTCCTATTGCTAGTTTAACTTTCGATTTACTACATCGAGTGCTAGGTAACTAGATCAAGCTATATATCTTACAGCATAAAAACTCATTAGTGTCCTTCTGCCGGGCATCGATATCTACCACTATACTAATGTCAAGTAGCTTTGTATACGTTTTTATTTCGATATTCTTTTAGTCTGTACCAGTGTATTATATTTTGCTGTATTAATTATCTTAATTACTTATAATATCCTGGGAATAAAAACGATCAATGGAGCATTGTATTCATAGACGAAAAATTAAAAATTTATAACTTACTATAGGGTAACAATAATATAAAGCATTGACTAGTTTCGGAATCAATGCGTGATCCATTGTCATGGTCGAATGCGACACGGGCACATGCCTGACACACGTAACGTAAATTAAACCGACAGTTATTACATTAAAATATAATGTGTGCTTAGGAAACTTTTAACAATAAAATATAAAGCATATTTAAAAAATCCTAAACCTATACTTATACAAACACTTAATGCAGGAGCACTATCCAACGAGCCTGCAAAAAAACCAGCACCAGTACCAGCGATTTATATAGTCAAGTACAACAGATTTGTCGATAATATACTGGAGAAGATGAACGATATATTAAGAAAGTCTTACGATCCTGTCAGTGTAAAACTGCAGCCGATTGATGCCACTAAGAAGAGTTCAAAACCAAAGGACAAGAATAAGAAGAATAAGAAGAAATCAAATAAAAGGTAACTTAAGAATTTATTGTATTGTTTGTTTCTAATGGATAAACTAAAAAATTTCAACCGATTTTAATTTTTTTTTATCTATACAAAGATACATCATCAGCAACTAAAACAGGCTTTATATTATTTTTGAAAATTTTCTTCATCCGTGAGAAGACGGGGCTACGACGATAGCTAGTAAGATAATAGTATTGCCAATTGCCTAGTCTTCAAGCTAGGATATCCTGTAATTATGATTAATATATCTACTTATGATGAATATCTTAAGCATACTTTAGATGTTTATCATACAGTAAACATATTCAGTTATTAGAATTGAATTAATCATAATTAAAAAAATATATTCTTTTAATTATGCTCGTGACTAAGTACTTGTTAGGTTTTGTACTGAAAGTAACACTTGATTTGCCCACATTTCTTAAAGAACGTGACAAAAGTTGCATTTTTCGGAATAATTCGGTTTTTATTTAATGGATGATAATGGAATGGTAACCCTGCCCGCGCTATCGGTATACGCTGGCGGCGCACCAGTGAGGGATGATAGGTGAGAATGAAAAGGCAGATCAGTTAGCCCACTGTGACGAATATAACAATAAATCAATCACGATGGTTTCCAGAGGAACCACAAGGAGGTCGACCTGACAGGATATATTGCTAGCAATGGGGCTACTAATCCCTATTACTAACAATTCCTTCATCCTCTCCAAATAATTAGGTTTGTTAATCAACATACAATAAATAGCTAAGCTAAATATCCAAAAATAGCTAATTAGGCCAGGGAGACAACGATGATATTAATGATATTACATCAACAATATATCACTAGAAAGCTGGTCGAAAATTTTATAATTTATAGGCGTCGCTGATTTAAATATATAGATTCTATCACTATGGTCATTTTGAGTCTGTGTAACAAAGGACTGAGCTATGATCATTTTTCAAATAAAAAAACTTTCAAGAAAATATAGGCCTAATAGTTAAAAATTTTGTTCGACAAAACAAAACGACTACTTCAATCGTGATAAAATATAGAATCAACGGATTAAACCATATCAATTTATTTTTGCGCATACACCTAAGTACTCTTTATTCTATTGTTTCATTTTTGTTGTATTGTTGTGTTGTAGGGTGTAAGCTTTTGTAATTTCTTTTCGATTTGTTAAATGTATGACTTATTTATTTTTAGGAAGTCATCACACAAGAAAAAGAACAACGCTCGTGCAGGTGATTCTGAAAAGAATAAAGAGAAAATAGAATCACTTCAAACTGAAAATCCTGAAGTGGCTCCTGTCAAGAAAATTGAAGACAATCAAATTGGTGTTACTGAAATAAATAATCGACTAATTGAACAAATACAAAACGAGACTGCGGAGTCTAGAGCAAACAAAGAAAAAATTGAAAAAGCCAAACCTACTACAATTAGAACGAAACCTCCTGTAAAGGCATCGAAACCAAAACCTAAACCAAAGCCACCAACAAAAACAACTACAAAGAAACCAGTTAACAAAAACAAAACAAAGACATCAAGTGAAAAGAATAAGCCTAGAGCTAAAGGTACACTTTATGGCCTATCAACATTGAGGCGAACAGATGATGTTGCAGTTAGCATTATGTCAGATCACACAACAGTCAAGAGCAATTTTGCAATTGGGCCTCTAATTTTAAGAGTAGAAAAAGAGGTATGTTTGTTAAATGATTTTTTTAATCTTTATTTAAGTACATCAAGGTTACGTAGATATTTTACGATAATTTAATGTCATATTTTTATAAATTTCAAATGTAGTTAAATAATTTCGATGAATTTTTTAGTAACTTTTAATGGTAGAGAAACTGGTTAACACTCGATGGTAAGTGATTACTGTAACTTATAGATCAGCATCAGGAATACCACAGAATACACTATGATTCCAATGGTACTCTTTATGTGTTGCCTCTTGGCAGCTACCGTTTTATGTATGGTTTTCCTTGTACATTGTAATATCATTGACATTCCCATCCTTCAAACAGCTGCTGCTTGATAAGGGAAAAACGTGTAGGATGATGGTTTCGGTATAATCATAATGTTATTTCAATATATTTGTTTCAAGGCGTTTAACACATGTTACCATGTAGCTAAGTTATATAGAAAGTAATGGTACTTTAGTATACCCTATGATAGGTTATTAAAATGTATAAAATAACAAAATAATATTTGTCAAAATCCAATGAATAGAATAGAATAGAATTTTATTACTAACTGTGTACATACATATAGCAGTAAACATTGCTTTGGATTTGACATCAGTATCAACAGTTATACCCTATCGGGCATGCAACAATTTAAGAACAGCAATTATATTAATATCGAAACATTCAAATACTATTACCATTACTTGATTATAAATAAATATGAAATATTTGACAATACAATAAACAAGACAAAGAATAATCATAACCAAATTAAAATAAAATAAACATAATTTCGCTTACATGTCAATTATTATTAATTTAATGAGTTTTAAGATTAAAGTATTCATTTAAATTATAAAAAAAACATTATCAAAAAGCCAGGCTTTGAGTTTAATTTTAAACATATGCTTGTCCTGACATTTGAATTGGAGTGTGAGGATTTATTGAACACAGGTGTATGTAAATAATGTTATGAACTAGTATTAATGTAACTGATGAATACGTGTTTCATTTCCCATTTATTATTTAATAGATTGGTCGAGGAGCTAAAAAGGAACTCAAGTCTGCAACAGCTACGACAGCAGAGATGACAGGCAAACTTACACTCAGAGTCAATAATCAGGGTGTAGCTACATTACACTCCATTAAGGTCCTACAGCCAAAGCAGGTAAGTCTCCAATTTGCCCGATGATGAAACTAAATTTCGAATAGAAATCTATTGATGTACTGAAAGACACTGGCAAAGGCGTCAATATGATTTGAAAATTATTTTACTTTTCGAAAATTACCTTGTAATAAATATCGACAGTTAATGTACTAAATGGTAGCGTTCTAGCAATAGTCCAATTTTATGATAAAATTGACTATGTCAAACATTAATATTGTTGCAGGTTCGTGTAGACAGCAATCACGAACGTACTCGCGAATTGGCGTGGCGACGTAGCGCGAGGATTGCACATGTGGTTTCTGAAAAACTGCGTTCTGCATCCAAACCAATGTTCCACTATGCCATAAAACCATAAGTTTTAAAGCTTATGTTGCGAATATAGGCTATTTCAATTGAGACTGTATAAAATTGAAGAATATGCATTTATTATTTTATAAATTCATGTAGTGTTAGGCAAATAATGAATTTATGGTTGTATTAATATGACAGGTACCTCATTGGTTGGAATTTTGGTACAATAAGCATTTAAAAAAAATTGTACAGTGAGCGATTGGTTAAAAGAATTGATTTAACCTAATTGGTAACGGTTTAAATTTAGTATAGGTTTTAAAGTATAATATTAATCGAGAGTAATGATTAATTATGATACTCATTATTTTATAGTCAGAAAGTGCATTTATAACTTTTAGTTCACATGGTGCTAAGTAAGTTTAGAAAAATATTTTAATATACTATTTAAATATTTTTATTTTATAATTACATAATGTAATAAATTATTAATTGATGTGTCAGACTTTTTTATTGTTACCTATATCTAAACATTTTCTTAATGGTATCTACGTATGTATTATTTTTTTAATGTGTGAAAATGGAATGGTAACCTTGCCTACGCTATTGGTATAATCTAGCTGGCGGGATACCAGTGATAGATGATAGTTGAGGATGAAGGCAGGTCAGTCGGCCAATCGTGAAGAATTTGACAAGAATTAACCACATTGATTTCCAGGGGGAACCGCGTGAAGATCAACCTGATAGGGTATATTGCTAGCAATGGGGCTGTTAGAACCTATACTAATATATCTTTCCCCTCTCTACGTATATTTATCGCTAGCTTTTTACTTGTTACTTCGTACTCGTGGATTTCAAAAGTAGAAAAATTAATGAAATAGATCGTTTCTAAATGGTGTATCAAGATAAAACATATAACAGATTTTAAGTTGGATCTTGAAGAACATAAGTGTGACAATTATTTTTCTTAAATATATTTAATAACCATCGTGTTATAAAGTATATCAAGTTATAACTTTATTATATTAGTACGATCACAGAAAATGTAAAACGCTTTTTTATCAATGCTACTATTGTTATAAAGATGAGCCAGTCAGCAACATAGCATAAAATATAGAAGCTAGTAAAAAATTTGGAAAAGGGATTCCTTTATTTGTGATAATCGCCGAACCGTCCTAGGTGCACTTTTTTTTTAAATCTGGTATTTAAATAATCTGGTATTTTAATATTAAATAACACAATAAGATTAAAGCTTAAATAAGTAGGTAGGTAGTCGTAATGAAAAAATAAAATAAAACCGAAATAATTTCTAGGTTAAATATTACACACATTACTGAATGAAACCAACCACATGAAAAGTTACCAACCCGCCTGCCAAGTGCGGTAAATACTGGCAAAATGGTCGTACAGGCAAATGCAGTATAGGACGACCTCCCACTAGATGGAGTGATGACCTCAGAGGTGCTCGAGAGAGTGCAGAGCGGGGCATGCAGGTGGCTTAGGACCGTTCCTTGTGGCAGTCTATGAGAGAGGCCTATGGGAATTTAACGGTTGTTATGATGATTACACATATTATAACAAAATGATTTAGCTTGTATTGGAAGAAAAATCAGAGGTGCAATGTATGTGGTAAAAGCCATTTAAAAGTATAGCCTAATTAAGTTAACCAAATTAATTAAAAAAATTACCTATTTCACCTGGCAGCCCTAGCATGCGGCTGACTGAGAGCAGGCAACCTGGGAGCATTTTATACATGCAGAATTCAGTGGTGGGATCTTAGACTTACGAGGTCAATGCTAGAAGAAAATAAAACAGTTTATATTAAATCTGTGCATTTTATTTCTTAAAATAAGAAGTCTATATTTTCAATAAGTTATTGGTAACAAAAATTGGTATTATACATATATAGAGAAATTTATAATTATTATAATATATTGCATTTTTACTAAAAAAATATTTTTTACATAAATCTTAATTATATCTAATAGGTACTCAAGTATATATATAACATTAAATTATGTATAATTTTGGGGATTTTGCATGTTAAATTATATAAATTATATTTTTCTTACATTTACAAAAACAATGGTTTTAATCAATATAAATAAGAAAGAAAATAAGGTAGAGTGCGCGCTATAAATAATTGTTATGTCAAGATACAACAAACCGTAGGTACCAAAATTTTTAAAGTGTTAAAATTATAACATAATCAAATTTGGACATTTATTAATTAAGTTAAAGATGCTATGCACACAACAAGAAATTTTAAATAAATTAGCTTTATATTTAGGTAGGAAAATAGGTTTTTAAAGTATATTCGGTACCATCTCAAAAGATAAAAGGGAGCCATTTCTCAAAACTTATTTTTTAACTTTATCTTTAAATTTGATAATTTCACAAAATTACTGTTTTATGGGCCATCATAAACTAAATTAACATTCAATTTGGACTTAAATCTATTAAAATTTGGTTCATTTTGGTTCTTACAATAAAGATATCGCTGGGATATCAAATTGATATTTTAATTTTAGAGATAGGTTTAGTGAAATGGCGCATCAGAACTGACCTTAGTGTATTCTGTATTACGGGAGAGCTCGACTAAAAGAACAATATTGTTCGTGAACAGAAGTCGAAAAATACTCCGGGAACATTCGCAAAATTATATTACGTTTATATTAAACAAAAATCTAACAAGGAAGGAAGAACAGGTATGTGCTCGCTTGCTCGTTACAGATACTTATTTCACTATTACAAGACTTCACGTGTCATACTTTTCTTGTCAAAATGGAAGAATTTATTCCATGTTTATTTGCTATATATAAATATATTTCGTTTGTACATTTGTTTTAAAAGCCTCATCGATTTCTAGTGAATAGATAATTATAATGTATTTTGTTATCACAACAGTGTGGCGAAGCGAAACTCCAATAAATTAGAAATTGTTTTGTTCTATATTATCGAAGTATACTATATCGAGTTGCTATAGGTACTATCGGCGTTACTGTCACATTTACATATAAATTTCCTATTTAAATAGTTTTCTTTTCAGTTAACGTCTATTAAAATGAATAGAGGGAAATATAAGTATCCATGCATAACACATTTTTATTATTTTTTACAGAAAAAGTTTTAAGTTTCTTTTTTTTATAAAATTGAACAAACTTACATTATCTTGCACCCAGTAGTAAATTAGTAAGTTACTCAGTTTACTCGTATTGCAAAAACAAGATTAAAAATCTGGCACTAATACACACCTACATATATATTCTTTATACGTCATATCTATTTCCTACTTCAGTTCCTCGAAATACGAGCAAGTATTCACTACTGAATTCACAATGAAATTATTATTTGAAATTTTGTTGTTGTGTTACAAACTGTGTATATAAACCTGACTACAAAGGAAATGATAGGGATCACAATCAATTTATCCGGTTGGTAGGGCCCTATTAATTAGCATGTTGGTAGATATTTGAGCATTCTGCCTCTGGGTATTTGTAAATAAAGAATTATTATTATTTTTCGTGTCGGCACATCCCCCTTCCACCCTAGATCGGGCATGAATGAGGCAAAAGTTTAAGATAATTCAAGCGAAGAGAATGAATTGAAATCATATATTAAGGGCGAGATAACAAGTTATAATTTAATATTATGAAATGATATTCATTAAACTGATTTAAATTTTGACTTATATTTACGCTTATAGATGTGATTATTTTAATATCTATTCAAATTACAGAACAGTACAAGAAACAGAAAGAAATATTTTTATAATAATTAATAAATCATTTTCACACCCAAATACACATGGTTTTTTCACATTGGTTCGTGTTCACACTATCTTTATGTTTGGGTGCGAATATATTAAAAAATATTTAAAATACCCTGCATTTGGAAATCTTAAATATCGCCTTCGCTCATCGGTACATTAACATCAAGTATAAATCATAAAGGTAATATTGTAATTTACATTTATTTAGGTTGACCTCGTATGAACTCTGTAGACGGTCAAGATGAATAAATTAAATACGTATCTATTGCTGACAGAGAAGGTACACCGATTTTTTTCTTATAAATATTAATGTCGTTTGGCTGTTTACGAAGTCAAAAAAAAAAAAAAAAAAGAAAATGGAGACATTTATATACATACCCGTATATCATTAGACATAGATGCGTTTGCACATTTTAGAGAGACTTTACAAGAGAACTGAGCGAGAAAAGGCAAAATTCATGTTAATATATAAAATGTCAAAATCTTCTTTTCTAGAAGTACTGGGTAAATTGATTTACAATTTGCATATTTTGAGTAAGTATTGAAGGTTGATGTTGCGCACATAAGATAAGCTGCATAAAAGAAATGCTACATGCAAACTAAATGACATATTTGGTTTCTTTCCGACCCACAAAGGCTCTTTAAAAAGTATTTAGAATGATATTTAAAAATGTTTGTTTCCAGCAAGCTTCGAAGACATACAGAATAGATTGTGAAAAGTGCAAATTACTTAGCCTTGTGTGTTACGACGTCATTAAACCTAGTTAACGTAGGTGCCATGTTATAATCCCGTGAGGTATATAGATTCAAGTCCATTCGAGAATTCTTATGGTTACATTTATCTTCTAACAACGTTTGTTAAATTAAATTTATTACATATATACGTTACAGTCATTGTAATATTAACCATTTAAACAAAAAATTTATTGCTAAAAGTTTCTTAGTTAAATGAAGTGATTGAAATCTTTGAAAAATCAATAACGTCACGGCAATAAGGTACTGAAGTATTTATATATTATTTCCTATGACTGTACTCATTTGAATGGAAAGTCTTCATTGATATCTATATGGCAATATTCGGGAATATAACATTTCTCACTCACGTGTCATTCACTTCGCTGGGGTGGGATTTGGATATCTCACACACTCTATTATTTAATAACAAAGGAATATTATTAAGTTCTTTAGACACAACCACATCCGTAATTTCATCGTCTAATTGAGTAAGAGAAGCATAATTTGGCGGAGGTGTGTAGTTTCCTGTCGCTTGTGTTGAATGCCTTGCCATCTGGCTTGTGAGATCTGAAATAAAAATTTGAGATACAGAATAGAAAGTATTTGTTATCTTCTTCTTAAATGGAAGTTATTTTTGTCTATTATCTTGGCTAAGATCTTAAAACAAGATTATCCACTAATAATAACTTTCTCTTTATGATTAGTCATCGTTTTATAAATATCTGGTATACTTTATCTGCAAGTTCATTCTCAACATTACGTCTAATCTACTGTATAATGTATTATGCCATAGATAAGATAATAATTAATGTCATAAGAAATCTCGTTGTGGTGAAAGTAACTCTCGATTACTTGTAATTATATCCATTTTGCCATGATATGATTGAGTCCAATTTTGGTGAGGAGCAGGCTATCAACTACATAACTTCAACTTTCATTAAAAAGTATGACTCATTTATGATGTATTTGTGATCGTAGATTAGATAATTCTAATCCACTATCGATGAACACGAGCAATCAAAATGATAAGGTTTTAATAGTTTCGATAAATCTTTATAAGCAATAACCTGATAATCCTTACTAATATTATAAATGTGAGTTTGATTGCCTATGACTAAGAAATTTGGTATACTTCGTTCTGTATGAGATGAAGAAGGGTATATGTAGGCTTTTTATCCCGATCAGTAAACATATCCCGGTCACGAGGATGAAGTCGCGGTTAAAAGTTAGTTATATTATAAAGAAGAAAGATTCGTTTGTTCGTTTGTAATTTACAAACGTAATCTAAAGATTACTCACCCGATTTTAATAATTATTTTATCTACAATATCAGCTAGTAACATTTCCATACATTGCTATCAAAAACTGGCTTCAACCTTACGAAGCCGAGCTGAATATCTAGTAAGCAATAACTTGATAACTGTGATATGGAGAAATTTTTTTTTAGTGAGTCTATGTAACATCATATACTGCTAAATTGATGTTTTTTGTCCGGTTTAAAATGACAAACAAGTTGATGAAGTCAATATAACTATACTAATTCGGAATACAACGTAACGCCCTTAGAACCCCTTACGCATATTAGTAAGTAAATAAACTCTGGCGAAACATTTTAATGTTTTGACATTGTTATTAATATATGCTATATTTCAATTTTCTTATTTAATAATTAAATTGGCTTTAGAAAAATAACTGTTGAGTTTTTGCGGGCTCTTCTCAGCAGGTCACAACAATCTGACCCCAGCTTCTAATTACAAATAGTATAAATTTGAAAGAACTTGTAATCAAGGTGGTCTTCTATTTCCACATGAAAATGCAAGCCTACGTTACTTTACAACATATATATTATATTATTTACCTTGTAATATAGCATCCAATTCATTAGTAGATAATACAAGTGCAACACTGGAGCCAGCGCCACTGAACACCGACGCTACGCTAGCCCTTGGTGATAGCAACACTAACGATTGGCCACGTGATGCCAGAGAGTTCGACAGTGCGCACAGACCTTTAGCTGCAGTAAAGTCGGCACCTGTAGTAAATTTTAACAACAAATTATTTATGCCTATTTGTACTTACACCTTCTTTCATATGACTGGGATATATTGATATTCAAGAATAAGACGTAATTTATATTCTTATTTTTCGTTAAGCTAAGTTTAACTTTAGTTAAGACATTAAGAGATTTAACAAATTATCGAAGTTAGATCTTTTGATATTATTGGTAAAAAAAAGCCTTAAAAATCCATTATCATCTAATATATTATTTTTCAATGCAATCTTTAATATGATATTTAATGTATATGTAGAGTATTTTTTTAAAATTAGATTTAAAAAAATACTCTACATATTTTAAATTAGATATTTAAAAGATGATTGGACATACCAAGAACATATCTGCAATCAATGACTACTGGCATGCTGCAGCCTCCTTTCTTCTTAGCAGCCCTTTCTACGTATTGTCGAATATATTCAATCCCAGGAAAGTATAAACTATTGTCAACTGTTACTAATAAGTATTTTAAGCCATTTGCATTCTGAAATAAAAAAAATGTTTTAATTTTTTACCAATATAAATCAGTTGTCACAATTACTAAGAAATAAGTTTTTGCAAGGAAATAGATTTTTAATGACGAAACGAAGTTTCATTTGCAGAAAACTATAGATTATATAAATAGTGTCTCTATAGAAATGCTTCGAGAAAAGCAGGTCAACTTTTCATACAATACATTGTGTAATAACTAGTTATGAGTGTTTCCTTTATAACTTCTATATTTATTTTGTTTTGAAATTTTTGCATCTTTTTAATGCGCAAAAAAGCATTTTATTTATTAAATAATTTAATATAAATACTTCCAGATATATTGTATGTATAAGTATATAGAACACTGATAAAAAACACGAGTCAGCTAATTTGACAATTAGTTTCGATGCTCTGTCTATATGATCTAAGGCTATATAATACGAGTACTATTTGGTATTTTATTACTAAAGTTCGTAAATAAAAAATGGGTGACGTATCAGAAGAATGTTATTATTTTTTTTTATTTGAATGATTCATAACTCATTTTATTTCATAAATACCATAAAGTTATTGATATTAAATAATAAAATGAAAAGACAATATTTGAAGAGGTGTTGCTGATGTTTATAACATTAAAATGTTTAATATTATGTTTTTGAAATAAATTGCGTGTTTAACGAATAGTTTTGACATAAAACTAAGTAGTATATATTTACTGTAACAATTTCAGCGTCAAGTTGTGGTCTTGCGCTGGGGTATAATAGAAACATGACGTTTACAGCCACTCCGGCGAGAATGCCTAACTCAACGCCCACAGTAAGACATAAAGCAAATGTTGCGAACGCCGGTACAAGGTCAGCACGTCGAGACCGCCACATAGGTTTCACTACCTAAAAACAAACATATTATTGTTTAATTACTTTTCTATAAAAGATACGTTATATGAGGATCGAAAGGTATAAATTTAAATAAGGTATTTTAGTATTTAAAGATAAAGAACTGCAAAATAAAGGATGGTTGAATTGTGAGAAATTAGGTTAAGTTACAAAATAAATTATATAAATTAATGTGTAGTAACAAGGATAAATACAAAAAAATGAATAATATAATACTAGTTACGTCTCATAGTCGTGTGAACAAGGATCAAAGTATTCTATATGGTGGTCTATTTGTTCACTAATTTTCTTACAAATGTTTAAGCTCATTGAAAAATAACCATGCATATAAACATCTTTATAAACTTCGACATTTACAATATTATTCATTTATTTTATACTTTATTATACACACACACACATACATAAAGAAATATGACAGTGGAAAGTAAAAGTACAAAGGAGAGTTTAACTCAGCAAGTGTTCTCTTCTAGCAAATTTAAAGTAAAAAAACATCAATGCGAGTATATTTATGTATATAAAATATTATTAGGATTAATTTTTTTTTAAGTAGTTTTCATTATTTATCTTATATACTTCTATTCTTATACATTACTATTACATAAAATAATGCTAATTTACCTCGTATTCTATCATAAATATCACAGCACAAATAATGACGGCGGCGAGCGATGCCTTAGGTATATAGTAGAAATATGGAGTCAATAGACTAAGCGCCAGCAATACCAGGACACCTACAAAATAAAAGTATTCAAGTATTATACAATTTAGTTATGAAAAGCTATACAGGTACGAGAGGAGATAGCTGCGAATAATAGAAATAATTGTTTATAATTAATTTAATTTCTTTAACTGAATACCGGTCAGAGGTTGATGACTAATGAGGGAACCTATACTAATAATAGTAAATTCTTAAATAATAAAATCCTAATAAACTAACCAGTGACATATTACTAGTTACTTGATTACGAGTATATTAGTCTATAGACTCAGGCAATACTTAACACCTGAATTTGTAAAATATACTTTATTATTTATGAATATGTTCAGAAATCTCTGAACATATTCATAATATTTCAAAGAAATCTACTAATTTCTTTGCAATGCGTATATTAGATAGTGTGATTATTATTCCTATTGTGAATAAAAGCAATATGAGAATTGTTGAATAATAATTATCGTGAGTAATATTGTACTGTAAACCGACGTATGTAAACAATTACAATAATGAATACATATAAATATATGACAGGTTCATATAATATTTTTTATGGGTGAAAATAAAATGGAGCTACCATTTGCGCTATTGGTATATGCTGGCGAGGCATAAGTGAGACATGATAAGCGAGGATAAAAGCAGGTCAGTTAGTTATCAATCAACTACAATGGCTTTCAGGGGGAACCACGTAGAGTAAGGTTTATTGCTACTAGTGGGAGCTGTTAGACTCCTTTACTTACAATCTCATCCCCTTATAGGCATCTAATAAAAAAGGATTTTTAGAAATTCGTTTGGAAACTAGAAGTCACGGGAAGAAGTATAGTTGGGTATGTATGTATGTACTATAGCTATACTTGTGACTGCGCGTGATTGAGGTAATAGTGGTCTATGACTAATAATCGTAGCCCATCTTTATTCCAAATACTATGTCGTATGATAATTTAATAACAATTGTCTGTTAAAGCGCCAAGAGTTAAGAAACAAACAAAACTCACTTTTAAGTAAGAATTAACGCACCTGTATAAAGACTGCCAAATTGCGTAGCAACACCACTAGCATGGTTCACAGCGCTGCGGGAGAACGAGCCAGTGATTGGCATCGCGCCTACGAATGAACCCAATATGTTAGAGAGAGACAACGTTAACAGTTCTTGAGTTGCGTCCACTGTTTCTCCACTGGCTGAAAAAAAAATACAGAGTCAATGAGGGTTGATACAGAAGCGCTAATCTCCATTATTGACATAATTTTTTTTATTTTTTATAGAAATTATTATTTTAAGGACCAAGAAAAACTAAACAAGTCGAAATTATATTACATTTATTTCTTGGTACTTTGAACTTTAGTAGTTTTGCTAAACTGTACTCTAATTATGAATAAAATAAAGGGAATATATCAATATATGAAACAGTTCTTTTTGCATTTAATAACTCATTTCTGGAGGAAGGTTATAATAGGTTATAGGCATTAAGATATGATTACAGGCGAAATCATGAAACACAACTAGTTATATATAAGCTAGTTATCCTCTTATGATAAAGAATTATGGGTATATAAATATCATAATTATTGAGAATATGATTTTCTGTTTCCATATTACTTTTTATTAAGAACTCACCGAATGCTTTGGCTATCGCCACATTGCCTAATACGCCTATTATAGGAACTAAAACTATGGAAGAGCCAAGGTTTGAACACATTTCGGTAAAAGACACGTCCCTTCCTTCATGCCACGTAGTAAACGGTGGTACATTCCAATTTGGAAGACCTTCTCTGAAAGGAATTTATATGTATTAGGTATTCGTATTTAAAGTAAAAAAACTCGACGTGGGTTCACGACTTCGTTTCGTTCCCGACGTGAACGACATGGTGCAATCCACGTCGAAAATCGTTATCGTTAACTCTCGATGGTGTGTGTATTCAAAATATATCTTGTACTATTAAGGATACACCATAAATATATAGCGTTCTTACCATAAACATTCTTACCTTACAACGCCATTAAGATTAAATGGCGACGTAGAAAATTTATCAAATAAAAACGCCATTAATGAACATAATACAACTATAATCGCATTTCTAGACGTGGATAGTAGCCATAGAGTTTTTTTCAACACTTTCTGGCTCGGAGGTACTTTTAAGTCTTTTAATTTCTGAAATAAAAAAATGTGATTAAATAATGTATAAACTATTTTACATTTATGACATTGTGTTATAAATGCATCAAAATTTTCAAAGCACCAAAAATTCTTAAATAATTGTTGCCTGGGTTAATATTGTTTTATCATGTTTAGGGTCTCAGAAATTTTAATGTATTTTTATTTAAATAAATGTAAAATTAAATTGGACTCTTTTTCTGCATTAAGCCTCTCATTTGGCTTCTGAATGGAAATTGAATATCCGCGCAAAGCGTATGTTCAAGTTCCATCAAAAGAACAGGAGCTTCTTGGGATCTTCACAGGCTTCACGAAACGACCTCATTTCCGAGGATTTCTTTTCTGCATAGATAACAGACTTTTGGTCATATATTTTCAACCTTTTTAAGAACTGTATGTACTGTTATGTTTCGATCTGTAGGTTCGACACTGCACGTTGTTCCATTTTTTTCATGTCTATTTGCGACTGTTACTATTTTCTTACAGATGGATTTGTCTAGCATTCTTAGTATAATAAGTATTAAATTAAAAATATAAAAAACTTACACGCATAAGAAGTAGAATAATAATACATGATAAGCCTAAAACACTGTCAGCTACTTTCGCATTTGGTATATTTACAACCACCTGAAATTAAATTTATATTACTGGATACTGGTGATCCAAGATTGTGTTTTAATCCAAAAAAAATCCTACTTTAATCGTGGTATAACCGGTTATTTTTATTTAATAACTAAACTAGTGAACCAATTTTGATAAAATTTCTTTGAGAGCTATCAGAAAGTATATCCTTTAAGATAAAAAAAAGAATAAAACTGAATTGAGTACCTCCTTCTTTTTTTAAGTTAGTTGAAAATATAACTGAAGTAAAAATGCTCTTAGAAGATTAACAACGAGGCTTTTGGCAAAGATTTCTAAAATTTCCTTTTATGTGCAAAATTATAAGGATAGGTTTCAATAATTCATAACTTTATTGAACACAAAATATACATTTACAATAGGCGACTTTGTGATCGGTGTAAATGCCACGAGGGTGCTTTCTACCGATCAGTTTGGTTATGTCATCCGTTCTAAATTCACTTATGTATTTTTATTGTAAACATGAGTGGTATACTCTTTTTGATATCGTGATAACCTAAATATATTTAGGGTCTGAGGTGGACAAAATATCTTATTATGTTCGTTGCAGATTTGAAAACTCGTGTGTCATGCTTCTATGTTATTGTTCTATTTTAATGTTCGAAATAAGTACATTAAATATTATCACTAGATTGTGTGAGTCATTATGATTTTTTTTTTCTTTTTTTATACAACTTAGAATGGCAAACAAGCTGACGGCCCACGTGATGGAAAGTGGTAATCGTCGCCTATAGACACGAGCAGTACCATGGACATAATAGAGTATACTGTTTCGCCCATGATACCCTCCATGCGTTGCCATTCCTGAGGACTCAGGTGTTATTCCTCTGAACCCAGTAAATTCACGCCATATTCTACCCTTCAAACCGAAACACAGCCATGCAAACACAATTGCTTCACGGTTGAAACTTTATATATTTGGACTTTATAAATGAATCCGTACCTTCACTATCGTATCTAAAAATCCACCAGATTTGAATTTCAAACCCAACAATCCTTTCAATTGTGATACAGCGATGATTACAGACGTTGCGGACGTGAATCCGACGGTGACTGGGACTGATATAAAATCTATAAGGACTCCTGTATAACAAAAAAAAAAAAAAGTCAGAAACATTTATATTACACAACTATATGATTATTAAAATTTCATGATACATAATAAATTAGGTATTAAAATAACGATAACATTGATACAGGTGACTTGTAAATTCCGACTCATTTTAACACATTGTATTAGCTATAAGTTAGTTATTATTGTTACTTGTAAAAACTACAAAGTGAACACTTGAAAGGTGTCGTGCCGAGTAGATAATTACTATAACATTTTTATAGATACCTTTGAAATAACTTATGCATGCTCTGACAATTTGTAATTAAACCAACACTATGTATATACATGAACTATTTGCATAGGATAAAATTTTAATTATAGTAGCTTATTGGTCGTTCAAGTAACTTTATATAATATATAGTAAATGTAAATCAAATTCCATGAAAATTGATTGAGATAACAAAAAACATTTTTTTATATTTATAGTAGTAATAAGTATATTATGTACCTACACGTTTATTAATTAACTAAATACACAGTGTATTAAATTATGTAGTCAATATCAGATAATAATAATTATCTGTATGTTTTTTATAAATAAATATGATTGGAAGTGATATATTTTCATTAAATACAAGATTAACATTGATGGAACGCGTCGGTATATTTATTTGCTTCAATTAATAATAATATTTGTTATCAAAGCTTTATCTCTATTATAAAGATAAATGTTGACTAAAGATTATAGAATGTGTGATAACTTTTGACGTAACAGATAAAATTGTTGTCAATGAGTCATATATGTGTCAATAGGTAAAGGTTGTTTTCATACAAATATTTATATTCTGGCGGTATAAAATGCCTAGTATAATGATTCACTAAAAAGTACAAAAAACTATATATGAAAGCATGGACCTACTATCAATCGGATTAGTATTTTAGCACTACATTAAACTATCTAATGTATAGGATGATAGTTAGATCAATATATTAAATTATGAAGCTATTATTGAACTTCTGATATATAAATATATGATTATTACTAATAAATTAAATTCATTCATTCATCCGGTGTTAAGAGATACATTCATATTAATCTTCGAAATCACTAAACTGATTTCAATTAAATAAAATGTTAATATAAAAATTGGCTCCAACTTAAGAGAAGGAACAGTTTTTATACCCATAAGAAAAAATGAACTCGGTAGGTAGCGGTAGAAGACAAGTTATCCAATTTAGTAATTCTACAACCTAACATTTTATTTATAGTGTAAATAAACTGTGTCTATTCACTCATCACGCAAAAAATTATGGGTGGAATTGTTGAAATTTGGTGTGGTGCTTACTTAATTTCTGTGGCAAAATATAGAATACTTTCTACTGTGATAAAATCTTTTTTTAATGAGACAATATTAAAATTCGCCAAGCGACCGATGTTAGGAGCACCGATTATATTATTAAGTTATAATGCATAGGTATAATTAATATGATCCTTTTTGTTCCTATTCTATTAATATGCAGAAATATAAAACTGTGAAAAAATTACATATTCCAAATTTAAATTAATAAATAAATATCCATCGTGGAACAAGGCATGAACAGAGTCGAATAGTTATAGTACCTAAATAAGAAAGTGTATGTCTAGACTTTATATTTGTACAAAATTTGTAGCAATATTACGGAACTTATGATTACAATGTTATTGGATGAAATAAATGTGAAGTTTTATTAAATGTTAAATGCTCTAATTTTAGTTTTGAGGTTTTAGTCACTGATCGTGTATGTAAGCTTAAGAGAATTTAAACACATATTTATAATATTTATTAATTTTTGACCGCTATTTTGTATGCGCGGATTTCAGAAGCAGGAAATATACCACTTTTAGATGTCGTATTAATATTAAACATATATTAGTGAGGTTACTATTGAAAGAAATTCCAATAAATCGATATTGAAATTAAACGTTTGAACGTTTCGCACTCTCGAATTGCAATACTAGCAACATAATGGTTTCATATTGTTCTGATAGATGCATATTAGTGTAATTTGTCAATGCAAACTATTGTAAACCGATCGCAACTATAACCTAAATCCTAACTGCTGTTTCATGAGTGCAGTATAAAATTGTCATTGGCATTAGACTGGATTGAAATTGATACTAGATTTAAGAGTAGACCTGCTGTTTTTAAGTCAGACCTTCAGAACACAAGTGAAAATCGTATTTGGGGCAGTAGTAATGTTTTCCATATATAGACGTCGTACAGTTACAATTTTATTAAATTAGTAAGATAAGGTATACCCTTTTTTACTTTAAAACGTATAATGATAAGGTATGTTTGAGAGTGTAATAAGCTTCTTGAAAGGAAAATAAATAAACTCACCTAAATGCAATAATCCCATTATAAGTTGCACTACGCCAGTAAGGAAACATAGAAGAATAGCGTAGTCCGCATTCCTGCCCTGAATTTGTTCATATGTCATAAGCGCTAGGAGGGCTGTGGGACCGAGTGTTATATCTTTGCACGATCCAAATATAATGTACACGAAACAGCCCATAAAGGACGAGTACAGGCCATCCTGGAAAAGAGCGGAATATTAAACAAGGATATTGAAAACGACAGTATTTGTATCGTAGCAGTAGTGCCAATAGTTTACGTAAATATGATTTTGTGCTCGATTTCGTCGGCTGATCTATGAAGGCAGCTTTGTGTGTTCAGCTGGCTTAAATCGAAGTCGCATCGAATAGATGTAACAGTTTATATAATATGTCCATTGACATCTATTTGATGTGATTTCGATTTATGAAGTCAACTTTCTGTGTTCAGTTAGTTAACTTTTGACGTATTGGAATTATGGTCTAATCGAAATCATAAAGAGTAGACGATATAATAGTGATGTCTATTTGACGTTTATTTGTTATGATACCGACTTGATCTTAATTCGATTGCGTTAAAAGTTTGCGAGTTTGTACCATAAATTGTTGTTTGGTTTTTCATGCTTCATATAAACACATTTTAGATAAGATTCAGGATATCGATTTAACGTTTATAAGTAGATATTTATTAATAAATTTGGAAAAGAAAAAAAAAGCTAAAGAATAGAAAAGAAAAAAAAAGGAAAAGAAGCTAAAGGTTGTTATACGTTATAGAACGTGGCAACTGTCGAGTTTAGAGATGAATAGTACCGTGGACATCAAAAATAAACTGTAAAAAACTTATTTCATAAATGAGATTTTGTAATATTTTTAAGTGCACATATAACTTTTCATAATGGTGGCAAAATTGAGATAAGATTTAAATCTACAAATAAAATAGTGAGTTAAAATCTAAATAAAAAAAGCGTTTGTGTGGATTTTTACTGTAGAAGATATATGTATCTAGATTTATAGCCTAATACGTTTACAAAAGATATGAAATAGAACAAAATTTTCTGACATAAAAATAAAGCAGCTACATTAAATGTAATGTATTGAATAGCAAGATAAAGAGGAATATCGTTAATTGATGACTCATATCTACGCGAAACTATATAATACATTTTGTTTCTTTCGATATTTCTAATAAATACCTCTTCTGTCATTTACGAAAGTAAATTACCATACTTTGTAACGGAAGTGATACAGAAAAGTTAAAAAGGATGAAACAAAACCGTACAGTATTTAACAGTACAGGGTTAAAGTTATATGATTTACGTGAATTATATCAGGATTCATATTGTATAATATGTAGTTTAACAGACTCGAGGTCTGTTAAATTCTGCAGATTATACAAAGCGCTAAGGGCGTACTACTGGGTATTTAGTACCTATAGTTTCATTGGCCGGTTATACGATGAAACTTATTATGATACATGCAAAATTGTGCCTATTTTATCATAATTATTAATTAAATTATTATAATAATAATGAATTAATTAAAAACCTATCATACAATATCTTATAGCATGAATTTTCAATGCTTCTCGAAAAATAATGTTTTTGTAATAATGAGGACCTGTACCTGAGGATCCAATCCGGCAAGTGAAGCATACGCTAAGGCTTGAGGTATAACAGTGAGACCCACTGTGGTTCCAGCGATTAAATCAGCAATTGCCTTCTCTGAATTGTATTCAGGCATCCATTTTGTGATGGGCAGCCTCTTATGTATGAGTCGTTTATACCAGGTCTGCCTTTTGAAACGTTGCTTGGATGGTGACGACATTGGTCTATTTATCTGAGAACAATATATTAATAATTAAAAGAAAATAAATATCCACCTATGTTCAACGAACGTAATCTAAGATAGATGTAGTTGACAGCGTCATGGCGAACATTCGATTATTATAGAATTATACAGATGACAGGCATTGAAATTACAGAAAAAAATCTAACACATAACACGTAAATTTAACAAAACATTTGAACAAACATTCAACAAAATATCAGCAGTAATGATTATTAGATGGATTTAGATTCTAAAAATTCACTAAATTATAGTTAAAACTGTGTCCCGTGTGGTCCCGGTATAGAATAGGCCACCCCTTCCTTTCCCATGGGTGTCGTAAGAAGCGACTAAGAAGTCAAGGGATGGGTAGCAGCGTTCCTTTTAAAACATTACCAAAACCTAACTACAGTTGCCTACAACCTCCTTTATGGGGGAGGCCTATGTTCAGCAGTGAATAGTTAACGGCTGACATGATAATCCCTTCCGTATATATGCCGTGAAATCGCTGTGCTTGCATGCTTGTGTTGCGATTTGATGTGACAATGAATTTACAAGATGCGGTGACATAACAACATAGTTCTCACGAATGGCAACGCATGTGGTGGTTCTATGGATACTATAGTGTATGCTGTGATGTCCATAGTGCCCTTAATGTCTATCGTCTGTTACTATTTTCCATCAAGTGGGTTTTTGCTATATCATGAAAAATACATCAACTGTCACCCACACCTTATTATAACGTACAAAATATAGGCCGTTATGTTGTCGTAATTAGAAAATTCTTCGTTAATATAATTTTATCTTTACCCTTTAAAGTTTATATTATGAATATGAAGTTACATAATTGAATTGTATCGTATGTTGCAAATATTCGACGAATATAGATATAGCGTGTTGATAATCCGATATTCGGGTACTGAACTATCAATTATGCTGTATACAGCTGATGCTCATCGTATAAATTAGATCAAACATTGAGTTAACAGATTTAACATTTTGTATGATACGAAAACACTGCACTAGTATAGGTGAAACAACATTGTCGGCGTATTTTTTTGGTGACTTCAAATGTATTTTTTTGTATTGTAAAGTCTTTATTGTACATAACTCAGATTAAACACTGGTAAATGATTTAATATACAATGTTCTATGCTTATGGAACAGTATTAAATTATGGAGCTAGTAGTAAAGAAAACAGACATCTCTTGATTCAGATTCTTTATTTGCCCTATATGATTTTGATATAATAAATAGGTATAAACATTAAATAATTTTGGCTTTATCATGTACTAATGAATATGATAAAATGGATCGTTCTCAAAAAATGGTTTCAAATGTTCTTTTAAATTTCAACAATGACCTATGGAATGTCTATAATAGATAGCTATGTTCTGCCACAGATAATATAATACTATACTAGGTTCTGCATAGCTAGATTCAATTGTCTTTATGTGAAAATATTAAGACAGGATAAATATACTCACCTAACATTCGTAGGTATAATATCAGAATAATTTTGGTAAAGTACGTAACATACAAGACAAAAGGAGATACTGGGTATTTAATAAAATATATTTATGAATACTGCTGGATGGAAGATACTAATAATATAATAGGGATTGATAACAGAGACAAGATCGATAATAGATAAATCAGATTTTCGAATCAGATTTTGGAAAAGATAGAAGGCTTAAAGACCATTTAGAAGAGACTGTAGTAAAGATTTGGAGTAAATGTTAGTTCGTTAAAATTAGATATTCAAAAAGTTATGCTACTTAGTAATAAATATCTGGATTCGCATATAATGCCCATTTTACATAAATATTCATGTAAAATGGATATTATATGCGAATTTGTTTCCTATAAATGACTCGGCCGAAGCTAAAAGACTATATACAAAAGAAAAGAAGTGTCATATAATAACACCATAAAAATTTTTTGGTTCTAAAATTAGGCCAACCTGCATTATGAGAAACCAGATAGGGAACATCTGGAGAATACTCAGAATCAAGCCAATTTAAAAAAGTTCCATTTCCTAAATTCAGTTAACCGACAATCGAACCCTATGCTTATTGCGCTATAGAGGTAATCAAACCGGATAAGTGAAAACGCGGGACCCCATAAAATTAATGGGCAAAATCTACAAGATACAAGAAGCATCGAGTCGATGCGTGACAAAAAATAGTGTGACCCCAGAAGTAAAGATAAGAGGTACTGTAGGTGTAACGTTACATTATTTTTAAAGAATCTTAAGATAAGACCGCAACTGGGAGAAACATTATAATTCAATAAATATATAATTTTAATTATACGAAACAACACCAGGATATAATTATAATATTCATTATTGATATTGTAAATATTATTATTTATAAGCAGAATCTTTTCCTTGAAATTGTGTAACTTATTAGAACACCAGAAAAAATATTTTAATCTAACCACATAATAATAAGTTCAAATATACTCATAAACTGGGTTGGGCGGTGAGTAGGCTAACGAGTTACACCTTCTCTTAGCGGTTTACAAAGCTCTACAGGGAATATTGGGCCAGTTGATTTAATTTAAGACCCTTTGTGTCGCACACTTCCAATTTCCTAATAAACGCCTACCGCTAAACACAACCGAGGAAAAACAAAGGCACAGCGGTAGACCTAACACAGAAAAGGGTCGCAATAATCGATGGATTCTCGTTTTGTTGTTTGAAATAATAAATATCGAAACCACTATTAAGCCTTTGTTGGATATAGTTGAAAGGCTGGAAGGGCAAATTTGGTGACCGGCGATATTTCAGCGCCATATTTACAAAATTAGGGGTTCGTATATGGGAAACAGTATTATGAATGGGATTTGATGACCTTTTGATATTCCGTAAAAGCATCGTTCCATCCATAGAGAAATCTAGTAAAGTTACGATTGACAAAATCCAATTATAGGCAATGCCCGAAAGGAAACAAGCAAGTACAAATATAACATAAAGTTGCGTTTCGTAGCTAAAGATTCGTGTTGTGGGAGTTGGGAAAAACAAATCAATTACTGTCAATTCACCACTTACAGAATAACTATTGGGAGAAAATTACCTATTAAGGTGTAGGGCGTTCGGACAGAGGCGTCGGTCATGTTCAAGATAATATTGTGGTCCGTTGTGTTAATTTGCGATGAGATGTAACATCGGCCTAATAAAACCTTTGGTGAACAATATCGGACAGGGCTTTGTTGCCTAAACCAGGTGGGTCTAGCCAATTATTTGCTAAAATTGGGTTGAGGATTTCCATTAACTCTCTTGTTTGTTTGTGTATCTTAGACATTGTTAATCTAACATTGTTTTCAATCGTTATTACTGTCGTTAAATTCGATTTACTAGTTTATCCCAAAATAAATGATTAGAAGGAGAAACTAGATGATTAGGGTTTAGCCACTGCTGTGATTTGTTAATTGGATTTTTAATACAATGTAAGTACTAATTAATTATTTTTGAAAACCTTGACGGGAAAGGGAGGTTTTTATACTAGTGAAATCGTGAGAAACACCTAGTTATTAGTTTTATCCATTCATGTTATGTTTAGGTACTACTATATGTATAACGACGAAATACGGATTTTCGATTTATGATGTCATTATCTCAATTGTCAGATTGTCCGTACGTGTAATTTTATGCATGAGATGTGAAACTGGCATTGGCACGCTATACCTAATAATCACAAATTCATGTAAATAAAATTATATAGAATAGAAACATTTTGTATAATTATACAAAATTTAGTTATAAATTATAAAAATATATAAGAATGCAGATATAAGTGGAAGGAAAGGAAAGACACAAGTGGAAGGTAAATTTGTAGATAGAAATTTTGCAGAAGATAGTAAAATGTGATCTATGTATTGTATAATACATCTATCTACTCGTATTCATTTATTGTAAATATTACATCTTAACTACGATGGAACGGTATCATAATTGACTTGGGTAAAAAAGTGTGTGTATTTTCTATGTATGTGCACAAATTATGTACGTTATTTAAATGATAGTTTCAATATATTAAATTTAATTTGATTTCTATTGGAACAATTTTTTCTAAATTGACTCGGGTCTGGATGTTCTGAGTTGCGCCACCAGATGTTCGCCTGGTGCTTTATATTACAGGGTATTCTAGTTTGAGTATCATGTAATTGGTGTGATTGTGTAGTACTTACTAATATAATAATAATATCACTTCACTTAATGAAGTTAACCTTGAATCGATTTCCTGATATTATTGAAATTACTACTTTGTCGGTATTGTGCCCTTCTTTTAGAGTTCCGATATAGATAAAAAAATAATATGGTTCCGACTTTGACATCTATTTGAGGTTAATTACATAAAAGGGAACCAATATTAATGACATAAGGACATATAATTACGAAAAGTATTTTAAATATTAATTATTGATATGATCGTATTATAATATTTATTTTTAGCGTATCATAAATCACTATCGTTGTTTCCTTTACATTCTGTTATTGGACGATTGGTAACATAAGCGATTACGTGATTTAGGAATTTATACCTATATCCTAAAATGGTGATCTGTCATTTAGGACCGATTTTGGGCACGTAATTTAGTGATCAATCCAACGAGTGAAGTGTAATAGATAGGGTAACCAAACCAAACTATGCCAAAGTGGATAAAAAATGAAGACCAGTTAATGTTAATGCACTTTATAGAAATGAGAAATTTGGGTATTTTCTAAAGAATAATTTAATTTTGATGCATTAGTAATATAAGATGTATAAAATTAACAGAATTTGGGACATTACCAATATATTAGATATTTAAACAATATTTTGAAGATAGCTGTTTTTACTGAAAAGAATTGTTTGTAGAAATAAGAACTACATTCAAAGATTTTACAAACACTTACATGAGCTGACAATTGAAACCAAAAAATATGCATATTTTTTTATTTATTAAACGCCCAGTTCATTATTATTTAATAATATATATTTATTCTATACATTTATATTATCAAATATATTTTTTTTTGTTCCTGGTTACCCTGTTCGTAGGTAAACAATCTATCAATGTCTGACGAATGTGTCGCTAACGCGTAAAGAAAAAATTATAATCTAAGAAATATTACAAGATATAACTTAGGCATACATAGGACTACTCTGATATTCTCGATCTGTTCTCGCATAGGCATTATGGCGAAGCAGTCCGGTATGCATAACAACAGCTCAGTTGTAAAACTTAAGTTGCAATTTGGGCTGTTGAAGATCGAAATTGACCCAAAATTTAAAATTTTTTAAATTTACATTCCGTAAAAAGTTAAGCGTTTTCAGGGCCATGTAAAGTTGTCGTTCGATAAGACATTACACCGACACGGTTTAGAAACTTTTCCAACAAAGCGACTCTCTTATTTTGAATATAAATAAATAATAATCTTTTAAAATACATTAGAAACCACAACTTTGTGCAGCAGTCAAATTTTACATTACAGAAATAGAAGACTAAAGAAAATTAAACAGAAGTCAGAAAACAAAAAGGAAACATTTCTGTCAATACAATTACATTTATTTTAAACGGGACCAGAATTCAATTTTAGTGACATATTTTTGTCGCGACTACAACGGACCATCATATCGGAAAACTAATCAAAACGTACCGCTCGAATCGGAATACAACGAATGCTATGCATACAAAATATCACGCCACAGTCGAGTTCAATATAGTATCTACTATTCTGTATCTGTAAATATAAAACAGGTCTTTAGTATGATTATACGCAAGTTCAATGGTAAGGGCAAGATCTATGAGATGAGAGTACTCTTTCTTCGCGCACCTGTTTAACTGGCTTCGGAACCATTCGATCATGTTAATATAATTGTTCATATGGTATAATACAAGTATAACCGTAATATAGCATTCCCAAAATAATATATATTGAAGTTTACGAGCAAGCGTTCCTCCAACTACCAGGTTACTGGTACGTAATTTGCCATATATCATTGTCTTACATTTTTATCTGTATTTTAGGGACTCTATCAAATATTGAAAAAATATTGACATGATAGTTTTGAAAAATAGTATCATATTTGCGACTTTGCTTTTGCAGGACCCGATATATTTCGTTTACTTTTCCTGTTATTTTTTTTTTACGCCTAGATAATTAGGTACGGAATCTGTAGTCAGTTTTTTAATGTATATTAATATGTTAATCATAATAATTGAAATTGTTTATATAAACTTCAATAAACTTATTTTAGATTGGTTCATTTTTCGAGCTAAAATCCTAAAGAAAGAGTGAGACACAGCACATTTCTTAAGTTTTTATTATGAATAACTAGATATCTTACGTTATAATTCATTATGAGCGCAAACAATGCATCATATAATTTTTATATATAAATATAGGATATCTGATAAGCATATAATATTATGGATTGTACAATCTATACTAATATTAAAAATAGGAAATATTTTATTGTAATGGATAAATTCAAAAACTACTCAAAAAAGATTTTGAAAATCCTTTCACTTATAGATTTATTTTATCAGCGAGTAACATAGGCTATATATTATTTTGGCAAATTTTATCTACTCGTGTGAAGCCGAGCCGGATTACTAGTACGTAATAAGGACTAACATAATGGAGTAAACACGCGTCGCTCTTGTGTTTCAGATGCCGATGTATGTTAATTCGAAAATTCTATAACACACCTATTCAACATTCCAATGGCAAATGTGGCTATTTATATGTCATATAATGGTCACGTGTGAAAAGTTTAATGGCCAGGTAATAGGGCAGCGTCCTCTCTGTTGAATGTTAATGTAAATAGTTAATATAGTTAACTTACAGACATAATTTACAAAATGTACGAGTATAATATATATATATATATATAACAAACCCCGTTTCAATTAACACCTATATATATATATATATATATATATATATATATATATATATATATATATATATATATATATATATATATTAAGCAGGTGTTAATTGAAACGGGGTTTGTTTTAAAAAAAAAAGTAAAGTTTTTATTCCATCAAGTCAGATTTTGACATTATTTTTTTGTAATAGAAGTATTATGTCCAAATCCGGCAAACATTTTTGCCTTTGGCTATGGCAGAAAATCAGTGCTTTGCACTTTTGTAAACAAGACACGTAAATTAACCAGTCCCTCACAAAATTGGTCTTCATATCAAATTGTACCTCAAGTTGTCACTTTATTCTACCTTTTGTGAAGAAAAAATAAACTATTCATTCATTCATTATGTCATAACCAATTTGTGACGTAGACATAACGATTAGTCTTCTTTTCTTGCTCTCCTTTGTTCTTTTTTATGTAATTTCTTTCTTTTCTTGTTATGTGATTGTTGAGTATGAAAATAAATACTCTAGCCTCTGTTTATAATTTTTATTGTTCTCCTCGTACGAATACTTGTATGTCAATGGGTATTGCCTCTACAAGAGGTAAGCTAGATTTATCTCGTTATCTCAAAAACGAAGTTAGTATTTATTGGGTCAGAAGCTGGTAAAGGTTTTACAACAAGTGCATATTTCATATTGCCGTGTGGTTCGGCATAGGATACGTGATCCCGTCCTTTCCCGTGGGTGTCGCAAGAGGTGACTAAGGAAGCTTATGGTGTAAAGATGGGCAGCAACGTCTCTATTGAAACATCTTCAAAGCCTAACTGCGGTTGCCCATCTGCCTGTTAAGCACGGCAACTACTAGCAAAACCACCCAAGGGGGAGGCTTGTGTTCAGCAGTGGACAGTTAAAGGCTGATATGATGACAAAGATATATTTTATTACTGCCAGTGGCATTTAGAAACGAGCGCCGATACGTCAACTACAGTTGATAGTCGTTGACATGTAATTTTATTTATTTGTTTGGCAACATTAATGATTTTTAGAATACGAGACAAATAATTAAATACTTTACTTTCGTAAAAAAATTACACTTTATTCTTTTAGGATATGTTTGATATAATATACATGTCATTGCAGTTATTGAAAAGTATTAAGTATGAATGTCGATGGTCATAAGGGTACAGGAAAACCTAAAAAAAGATGCATAGACAATTTAAAATATAAAGGGAGTGAATGTTGAAATGTCTGTAAATGAAGTTGAATGGGAGATTAAATATTGCGCTCAACCCAAATGATTGGAATAAATTATGATAATGATATATCATCGTCTTTATCATCATCACCTAGCTGCAATTTGAGTTTAAATGCATTAAGTTTCTTTTTATGAAAAAATCATCGATATAATATAAAGCCTGAATTCTCCAAATAATAATATCAGCAATATAAAATGACATTGAAATCTACTACCAGCAATAAAAGCAAAAATAAAGGTACGTTTTCTTTAAGAGAATAATTTGCTTCAAACACGAGTCGAAAATACGGCAAAGATTTGTAAGTTGGGTCAACTTGGGTTGGAGGCATTGCACGTAGTAGTCATTAATAGACTCCAGTTTTTTCTATAGCGTTACTAAATTACACGGAAAAAAAACAAGAAAGCAAACGTGTTCTATATTGTTTGTACCTGCAGAATTTAAGAATAACAGAGATTAGTTCTCGATTCAAACGCTTTTTATATTAGACAAAGTATAATAAATTGTTGTTAATATAAATGTAATACTCATAGTAAATTAATCTTTAAGGGAAGTACATTCAAATGAACAAATAATACTCGATATACACTAAACACAGTTTATACTAGAGATAGTCCCTCTGGTTAACAAACATATTAAAAAAAGTGTATTTTTGTCAAAATTATGAGGCGAATCGGTATTTATCATGAGTTGGACTTTAAGTGCGCCAAGTAGTAAAAAACTAAATTAAAATTTACCTAACAATGTAAGTAAATAAATATTAATGTTAACATACCTATTTGATTTCGTATCTCGATTATTATATTAATTATTATACTTTTGTAAGAAGCACAAGCATGAATTTGTTCATTGAATAAATATTAATATTTATCCATATCTGTGATATAGCCTGTGTATATATCTTTATAAAAAAGTATGAAAAAATGTTTCCCAAACGAGTTAGCGATCTATGTGATGGAAAGTTTCCATCAACACTTTTTAAGAACTCCAGCCTTTGTGAACGCGAAGAAAAGATCTTGTAAACCTGTTTGGTTCGGGACAAGTTGGGTTAGAAGAAATGAAATTCAGGCAAATATACGATGAAAGGACCTCTTCCAAAAGGGCTACACAAGTTGTAGATATTTATAAAGTATATACTATAATAAAATCGCAAGGGTCGAATTTTCCGTTTGTTGCATCATCACAAGAAAACGGTCGTATGGATTTCAAGGAAATTCTAATTGAGTAGCAGCCCATCTAAAAAACTGGTGTAAGTTTATCGGTTGAGTAAATCATATTATATACCTTGCAAATTTTCTTTTGAATTTTTTCTAATGTAAACAGTTTAAAAATAGCGCAATATATTGAGGGTTGTGGATAAAAATTACAAAAACCAATTTAAATCGATTAGAAATTAGGACAATTTATTACAAAACCGCCCAAAAAAGGAGTGTAATCTTTTTAAAGTTCTGTATGCAAGATTTTTGTTTCATCATAACTTCTAAATGCCTAAACAAATTTAGATGCACTATTAGAATCTCCATATCATTCCAAGTGACATTAGCTATAGTTTTTTTTAAAATAGTTCGTTATTGGTAGGACAATTTTTTTATTTGCAGGGCAAAATGTACTCGTTTGGCAACAAATAACTAATCATTATTAAATGACACATATTGTATTTTAATATATGTACTATATTGAATGGGGAAGGACATAGGTTACTTTTTATCTTGATTAGTAAACATATCCCGGTCACGCGGTTGAAGTTGCAGGTAAAAGCTAGAAAGGTATATTGTGTATAAATGTAACTGAGTACGTATTAGCCTATGATTGAATCGTTCATCATAAACATTTCGATTTTAATTTTTTTCCTAAAATTGTATCGATTAGGAAATAAATAAGAACATTGTCACTATATTTGTTCAGAAGATGATAATGCACATCTGTAGGGTCAGGAGCCGGGACCCTTTCGAACTCTCTGGTAACAAATGAGGGGATCCGTGTTAGTCTGACGATTACAAGTCGCCGATTAATCACGCGGCGCGCCAACGGTGCAGCACGTACTTTGCTCATCCATTCGACCCGTCTGAAATGCGATCCGTCAACGCTATCGGAACTTGGGACCAGCAGCGCCCTTCGACGGGTAACAAAATTATTTTTAGAGGGTCCACCAGGTCGGAAATCAGTGATAAAGCGGAGTCATTTTTAAAAACACAAGAAGTTGATAAATCTGTAGTCGTTGAATACAGTTGATAAATTACATACGCAACATGGCAACAATAGTATTGTAGACGTCGATACGTATAAAATATGTTTTGCTCCGTAAAAAGAGCAATTATTTTAGTCGTAACACAATAGTGATGAACGACGATGTTTGGCAGATATGAATATATTTGAATTTAGAACGCGGAATTGTATTTCTACTAATAGGTTTTGCTAAGCAACAAACAGGATTTTACACCATAAAGAAAGACGGCTTATCGATGTGTTTTATCGAGTCAATTGTACCAGATCCCTATTCAATCATTCGTAGGCGTTCTTATAGAGTGCTAAAAGAAATAATCTATCAAAATAATGTTGAATTAGTTATAATTTGTATATTTTTAGTCTACTTTGTTTTGTAATTTCAATATCGATTTTAACATTATATAAAAAATAGTGAATTGTATTATAGTTATAAATGGATACATAATGTAAAATGTCTGTAATTACCGGTCAAGCAGGAAGTTTTAAAGCAAAACATTATTGTTATTCATACGAGAATTCACCCATGAAAAAAATATATACTCACAAAAACATATGTTTTTTTTTCTGTTTAGTTTTTATACAATATCTACTATAAATTTTATCGAAAACAGTTAAAGTTGTGTCAGTTTATTTAAGTTCTGTCAATACTAAAGACTAGTACCATTATTGTGTGCGTGCTGACAGCGTATTATGGCTATGCTTATATGGCGATATGGGATTCTAATCTGAAGACAGAGCACGAATGCCAATGACATAGTTATTTTAGAAAAAAAAAAAATGCATCCGCATCATGATTAATATTGCCCAAAGAAACAGCGCCAACCGTCGTTTACACAGGATATATTCACATATACACATATTCACTCTACGCAGTATATATGTATATATTAAAAAATGTATAAATTTATTCTAATTTGTTAACAATGAATGAATGAGAGAATGAGTATACTTTATTTGCATTATACAATATAGGAAATAAGCAAGGCAATTTACAAACTCAACGATACAATTGTATAAGTACAATAAGGCGGTCTTATTGCTGAGAGCAATCTTTTCAAGACAACCTTAAGGTAATGGACTAATTGTTGTACAAGTAGATAGGTAGTACAATGACTGGTACAAAACCAAATTAGTTTTGCCAATAGCCCAAATAGAAATGTTTTGAAATAGTCAACAGTATAGATGTAATAAAATATTTAATAAAATGCCTGATAGTTTAAAAAGCATAGAGAATAACAAAGCATTCCGAAATAACTTCGTACAAATTTATATAAAAAAGAAATGTAATACTCAGTACAGGAATTTATAGACGATAAATAATATGAATATTAAGTTATTGTGATTGTAAACATCGAAATTTTACTGTAGAATGTAATAATTAATAATATATAATACTTAATTGAAATATGTGAATGGTTGAAATGTATAAATGTGATGTACCTACCATTATTTGTAACGGCGAAACTGGTTTTATGTTGTCTGTATAACATGCCAAAAATATTTTCAAAATTATACTTAGAAGTTGGTAGGTAGTGATGCATGATTATAAATTTTATTGTGAA